CCTGAGTAAATGAGTCTGTAGTCAAGACACTGTTAATTTGGAACTCGAAAATGGTCTATTAGCTTCTCACAATAACTAATTCCATGGTTTATTAGCTATCCCCCAAGGCCGAGAGAAAAAAACTGCGTCAAGTCATAGTTAATAGAGGGGAATGGTTATGAAACCTATTGTTATATATCTTTGTTCATTTTTTTCAAGCGTGACTCTGCACAATCCTTTGTTTTATAAGAGATATTTGAATATTCCTTACAACTGTCCCATAGACAAAATTTATGTTTACTTATTTTGCAATTTTGGATGAGCAAAAATCAACCCTTGTGCACGGTCAAGACCGGTTCAACATCAAAAGCGAACAAAGACCTATAACAATAGGTTTCATAACCATTCCCCTCTATTAACTATGGTCAAGCTGGCATTGCACAGTGCACTTTAGGGCTGTTCTAGAGGACGTATTTCCAAGATGGCCTCTATTTCCTCCCCTAAAKCAGTCCCACCATGCACTGCAATGGCAACTCAACCCAGATTTTTTTCTCTTCCTTGGAAAGGGTAATTCTGAAGGAGCTCCTGTTAATTTGGCTGGGAAAAGCTGCGCATGCGCACACATGAATGCCAAACTGACCAAGTCAGCTACTCATATAATGAGAGAAACAGAACAAAGAAATCGTTTTTTTTACCTGTTCCCTTGCAAAGTCCACAGCTTTTCTTGCACTTTTTCCTCATGTAATTGATAAACCGTCCTTCTACACAGTACCTGGCTTTGGCCCATCTCTTGCATCCTGATGATTCGTCTACACAGGGGCCTACATGATACGTTTAGAAAATATTATCCTGATCTGATATAGTCTCCTTAATTTGCAGCCGTTCTTAGTGTCGGTCCAAACGCTTAACCCTCCCCACTAATGGTTAGTGGGGAGGGATTTTTGGAACAGCACTAATAACGGTTGCAAAGGAGACTAGATCTGAAGGTGATAGCTGGCCAGTTAGGCATGGCAGGGTTAGGGATGGGACGGAAGGAAAGGGATAGCAGGCTSATAGACCCCTTTAGCTTGGGCGTAATGTTTTTCCATTTCAGACCACGAGTCATTCCCTAGAGTATTATTTCTTTGTTTAATAGTCGCACATGAGAAGACGAATATTAATGCAACTAAAACAAAGAATCGTATTCTCAAGAGAATGATTGACACATGGTCTGAAATGGAAAAGCGTATGATGCTCAAGGCAAGCTAAAAAGCATTTCTTGTAAACTAGGTGACTTTAACATGATTGTTTTGTCTTTGACAATAGTAATTGTAGTATCTTTAAGCCCTAATAAAATATGCTGATGATGATAGTGATGCTGATGGTATAACGATGGTGGTGTTGATGATATGATATGATGATGGTAATGTTGATCATGAAGGTATGATGTAGATGATCATGATGCTGATGATGAATGTGGTGATGATCATGATGRTAATTGTAATGATGTGAATAATATGATAATGATAGTAATGGTGAACATGATGATCACGATGCTAATGGTAATGATGATGGTGATGGTGGATGTGGTGATGATGATGGTGATGATGATGGGGATGATGGTGGTGATGATGGTGATGATCGATGATGGGGATGATGATGGTGGGGATGATGATGATGGTGGTGATGGTATATTGATGGTGGATGTGGTGATGCAGATGGTATAATGATGATGGATGTGATGGGGAGGATTCTAGATGTGGTGATGATCATGATGCTGATACTTTTGGTGATGGTAGTTGGATTGGTGATGATGATGATGATGATGATGGTACTGAAGGTGTATATAATGTCATATCACTCACCAGCAGGTTTGGTAGGTGGCCTCGTAGGAACCACAACATCGCCGCACTTATACAGCTTATTCAGTTGCCTGATATCAATACGACTGAGGCCACGTCGTTGACCAATCGTCACTCCAGATCGCTTCGGGACAATCGTTTCCTTGCCGTTACGAGTGAAGGCCTTTCTTGGGTAGTGCATAATGGAACCATAGTCGTATGGTTCGTTTAGAGTATCGGCTTGGCCGTGGGAATACTTCCTGAAGTTGTAATCTCTACCTAAAGTGTGTAACGATAAAAGATCCCAATTGAGAATGTTTTTTGAATGTGCATTGGAGATAAGGGAGATGTTATCCATGAATTCATTTCATATTGTCTCATTCCATCCACCCATTTCATCCATTTCATCCATTTCATCCATTTCATCCATTTCATCCATTTCATCCA